TGGCTGGTAAGATATTATTTTCCGTAGCAAACTTTAGCATTTCACCAAGTATAATTTTTTCAACTACCTTAGCAATTATGGGAGTGAGACTGATGGGACGATAGTTGTTCTGCATTGTACTTATCACCTTTCTTGAAAATTGGAGTAACTGTTGCTTTAAGCCAGCATTGAGGTAGTGAATGAGAAGAGAATGAAGCGAAAAATATCATACTTAAAGGGCACGAGTAGAGGCACACCTTACCATTACCATTACCTTACCATTAACCTGGGGTATAAGATACAATATAATGTATATAATATTTTAACGGTTAGCATATTATATTGAAGCAGTAAAAGAAGGCAAAGGAAAATTTATTCGACAGACTTACCATAAAGTGGGCCAGAAAGTTCTTCTTTCGTATTTGTAGTTTTTACCGTGGGCTGATGGAATGTCTTTGGCTAAAAGAAACAATGTTTACTTTCCTCATCTACGTCGTCGTGAAACAGAGATAAGACGGTGACCTCATTTGTCAAATACCATAAATGTTGGCAGAACTTTTGTAAGGCTGATTTTGAAACGGTTTTGTCAATTTTTCCGTAAGCCTTCTTTGCCTCTAAAAAGCATAAATCCTAGTTAGGCGCCTTTACCGCTGAAGTGCATTGCAATCACGTATATTAACGCGATGAACAGGCAGATGTCTAACAGACCCGCGTTATCCTTATTAGAAAGTTTGAGCTGGGAACTTAGTAACGCTATTTTTAATGAAGAGATTGCTCTGGCCATCCATTGAGTTTGATGCATGGCGTCTGGTGGCCTAACCTTGATTTTTTTCTCTGTTTTTCGGCCAAGAAATATTATTGAAAGTTCTATTAATTTTCGCTAGTCGTCTCTAACAACTACTTTGGTCAATTCATGTCGATGAAATTCTCGCAGCTTATCAGTCTCTGAAATATTCAGACATGACAGATATTTAGTACGAATTTGTATTTTCTCGGGATCCACACTCTTCCGAAACTTTTTGAACATTGGAATTTCAAGGCTTGTAGTAACTTGGTCGATCTTTGTTTCAAACACGCCTTTTAACACCAATTCGTAGACGTGATGAAGGCAAGCAAAAATAAGGATTTCATTATTAAGTTTCTGTTCGAGAAGCACGCAAACACCGTTAATGCGACCCGTATTTGAAGTAGTAGTATCACGGCAAAGAATCTGAACTTTATCTTCAAGATTCCAGTCGATAATAGCATTCCAAACTACCTGAGCCTGCTCGCTGCCTGAAGAGTTATCCAATTTCTCTTTATTTTCATACGTTTTAACAGTCGGTAGACGTTCTTCTTTAGACTTGTGGGCATTTAAAAGTGGCAACAATTTGCATTCGGTACGAATTCTTTGAATGGAGTACGTACTTATAGGAAACTCCTCAGTAATATGTCCAACGGCCTCAATGGTTGCTTCAATAATAAAAATATTTCCCAAACTTAACTAACACTTATCTGATGCTATCACTAATTTTGGAGTGATGAAACTTTTCCTCATTTTAGTTTGCCTAGTGTCAGGCTGTGTATTCTGAGTTGAGATAGGCAAAGTTTCTTGTGAATCTATCTCTGAATCTGAAGATGAATTTTCTTGCACTGGTTCGTCAGATGATATCAGAGGTGTTAAGGAAGCAACATATTTAGCTCGCCGCTTTTGTTCTTCGGTGTTCCTAAGACGCGCCTTTTTTTTTATGGCTAATTTCTTGTTCACCCCAGCTAAATGACCAGGTCGACCTAGCTCTCTCTGCCGCTGCTATCTTCATTTATTTTCATCCATTAAAGGGCATCGGTATGCGTAATATCAAACAGATGTTCCAAGTTCGCATCAAACTCTTGTTGATGTTGCTCAAACACTTGTTGTGTTTTGCTTGGATTTTATTGCAAATCTCTAAAGACTTGGTTTAAGGGCACTAGGCTCTCAACACAGTTAGAAAATGGTTCAGTCGGTATACGTGCCTTTTTCCAGTAAATTATACACTCACGAACAGTAAGGTTGGCACTCTCATTGACAATTGTCATTAATAAATTTCACTTCCCGGATATTATAAAACAAAACTGCTAGTACTTGTCAGGCTTAGGCCGCACTACGGCTAAACCGCCGCGGGTTTTAACCACCTGATTTTGTGAGTAAACTAATGGAAGCAGTCGCACTGACGGTTATTTCCCCGCGACTGATTTTAAAACCGCGACTGATTTTAAAACCGCGACTTCTTACAGAATGGCTAGCGGGAGAAACCGCGCCAAAATTTGTAGTTCATAGAGTATATTGGCGCGCACACATTTGACGCGGCAACCGCGTGCGGTACTGCAATTCTTCGGAACATCGTCATGAAGAACCAGAGATGCATTATATCATCATGGGCATTACCAATATTTTGTATGTGAACTGCATGATGGAAGGGATTAATCCCCATCTTTTTCCATGAGAGCGTTTGATCTGCGGGTTCCAGGTTAGTTTGGAGTCTAGTATTACCCCTAGGTATTTGACTTCCTCCGACAGCTGTAACTGTTTTCCCAGAGGGAAAAGGGACCCAACCCCTCTGATTTCTTCCTTATGGTGAAAGCAATTATGTATTAGAGCAGGGTTTCCCAAACTTTTTTTTTGTTGAGGCTCCCCGAACTATAAATTATATTTTAATGTCTCCGTTTACTTTTTCGATAGATACAAAAAAACGCACATTATATATCTACAACGACTTTTATTTTAATTCTAATAAAGAAACTTTGAAAGTTTAAATAAACTAATAAATGTTTTTTATCGAAAAACTTGAATAACATAAGAGTAGGTACTAATGAGACACTTGAGATTGCATGTTCTGTACCAGTTGGTTGATTCTAGTTTTTGTTTTTGCCAGAGCTATCATCAGGTCGCTATCGATTTCGCTGTTTAGTCTTAATTAAACCTAGAACAGAAAAGCCTTTCCCACAGAAGTAAGTTGAACAAAATGAACTAGTATTCGTAAAGCAAGAGAGGCAAGAGTCTAACAAGCAATCTTTTGATCCAAAATTTCTCCAATGTTAAAAGATGGAAGTCATCTTTCATGAACGAATCAGCCTTCATTTCTAGAAATTCTTTCTGAACTTCTTCTGGTAATTGTGACACATCGACAACAAATGTATTTCTTGTCACGTGCCATATTGGTGACTCTGAATTGATGTCTCGATAGTATTGGCGAAATTCGTCTTCCAGTGCTTGCAAATGAGTGTTTATGTCACTTTTTAAATTTGCGTCCAGTATGTTGTCTTTAATTGCTTCGAACAGTCGAGAAAAAGATACAACATTTTCAGAAGACACTTTTTGATTCCAAAGTTGAAGCTTTGATATGAACCCCTGAATATAATCATAATTGCTTATCATAGTGTTGTTTCTGCCCTGAAGTTTCAACCTTAGCTCACTCAAGGAGTCAAATATGTCAGTTAAATAAGCCAACCTCCATTGAAATGTGTCATCTTTGAACATTGTCAAGAAATCGTGTTTTCTTTAAACTCAAGAAAAAGAATTACCTCTTCTTTCAATTCATAAAGGCGAGCCAACATGCTGCCTTTGTTCAGCCAGGCTACTTCTGTATGGAAGACCTTTATGATCAGAATCGATGTCCTCGCAAAGCAAAATAAATAACCGACTGTTCAAAACGCTGCTCATTTTTTCAATGTCATACTTGGTTAATTAACCACAGTAGTAATGTAATAAGCTGTATGATCCCCCTCTCAAAAAAGGCGTAAGAGTTCATGGAAAGGCCTGAACAAACTATTGATGAGCGCCATTCTTTGTCTGGAGTTCAATGCAAATCAAAGATACTTAGAGGATTCCTGGACTTGAATCTAGACGGTCCACTTACCAACGACCGGCTTATCCAACAGATGCCCAGTAGCACTGACTTTGAGTGGTCGACATGGGGAACACTGAACCATATTAGAACAGACATAGCGCCAGTAAAAGTTAACCGGATAATAAGAATAAGCAATTCATTGAAAATGGGAGGTAAGGGTGGGGGGTTGATAGACACGTGCAATCTGAACGAAAATGTAAGTTCATTCACAGGAGGCGGATCCTGTGAGGCATTTTCAGGTGGGGGGACTTCTGGGAGCGAATGTTCTTATGATCGTGTGACGACGGAAAAACGGGAGGGGGGTTACCGACTACTGAAAATTGATAGAACGGGAGGACAATAACTTTCTGCGTATTTACCTTTCCCCAGTAATCGTAGATTTAGCAACACAGTGTCAAAAGTGTTAGGATGGTATGTAGTTGATATAAACGCCATTCCGATAGAAGTTGAAAAATTTCTCAGGATGTTTTCTTAAATCTTTATACCTTTCATGAAAGATACCTTTCTTAAGTCTTCTACTAGTCAGTGGAGGGACCCAATATTTGCGAAATTTTTGATGACGTTTTCTTTGCCTGCTTCTGAGTATTAGAGTAACAACCCATACCTCTTGAAATGCATCTTCAAACTGTGAAAACCGTGTCCAGTCCGTAGTGCGGCTCAAGCCTTAGACGGAAGTTTTGAACCGGTTTCACGTCGCCTATTAAAAATATCCCTTGTTAGAACTGCGTTATACCTTCGACACATTGACTGAATGAAAACAGTGCGTTTACTAATAGAACAACCGAGCAATACGTTAGCTAGCTCACGCCTAATATGCATGTTTTTACATGTTTTAACGCAATTTGGCACGGGTTGACCTGATTCTAGGTACATAAAACTTTATTTTCAATTGTTTTGACATTGTTGAAGCAGATTAGAGGGTATGCGTTTGGAAAAAAGGACTTTCATTCTTTTGGGACACCCTAACATACACATAATTTGTGGTTCCCATGCAATATTTTATATTATATTGTATGGGAACAACAAATTAACATATTTACATAAAAACTACTGTTTATTCTTTGAACGGATAAGGATAGCAAGTTGAAATTCGACCTGATGAAATTGAATAGTATATTATAGCCCCAGCAATCATTTTCTCTCTTGTTGGTTTGAATGAAGCTTTTTACAACTTTCAAGGAAGAATTGATTGTTAAATCAATTAGAATAAGGTCCATTATTATTATTTTTGCTTTATCATCCCTGTAAGTTACAATTGAACCGAGCGAAATAAATCCGAAAGTTGTTGGTGGCGCTATAGTTCTCCAGCTCTCCAGTACACATTCAAGCGTCAATTTGACATTTGAAAGTTTCAATTGGGAGTTCTCTTGGATCAATCCTTCAAATAAAAGGGCAAGCCAAATGATACCTGGAATGGCGGGCGGGCGATTAAAGTTGAACGTTTTTACACATTGAATAGCTTAAAACTTATCAGCAAGCGGAAAAGTTACCTGCAAAGAAACTTTTTTCTCTCACAGTTCTTCAAGCATACAGTGAGTATCTGCCAAGTCTAATTTTCCATGTTTCGTTGACTTCGTAGTTCGCATTAAAAATTTTGTAAGAATAAGTTTTTTTCCTTCCGATTTGATATAGTGATGTTTTCTTTTCTCCTCTAGGTAAAATTCACCAATACCTTCTGTTTCCAAATCAATCATGAGCCAATTGAATTTTTCAAACAATTCCCTGAGTTACAATGAATTGATCGACCCATTATATATTGTTTCCGTAATAGAGCGTACATAGCAAGGTACATATATCTAGACACCGAAGTATGTGATTGACACAAAAATTGAGTGCATTATTATTATTGCCTGTATACAGAGCTGACTACAGACGATTAATACGTGTTTGAAGTATTCAATATTTGAGCTCTTTAGCCCTCTGTATCCCTAAGATTACCTGAATTCCACTCCCCGAAAGGATTCTACGTACTTTTGGAATTAAATTCGGTACCAGTGTAAGATCTTAATTATTTTGTAATCGCCTTTTATCGCTTTATGAATATCATCCAAATGTAAAAAATAAATGATTATATTGTTAACATGTCTCATGTATTTATTATTGGACCTGTACCTAGTTTCAAAACAAGACTGTTTATGCGAAATTGTGAAAAGCCACGTTTACTAAAACTAGGTACAACTCCAATACAATATCTCTGAGTGATTAATTTTTCAAAAATCGGCTACTTTTGTAAATTTACGGCTAGACGTATTTGTCACCACATTCGAACTATGAAATGCTTATATATAGCAACATGCACGAATAGTATGTAACATACGGAAGTTCCTTCATAGTAAACAAACATCAGTCAGCCAGAAACTGAGAAAAATATTGTTAGTAGAAGCTGCCTGGATTAACTGAAAGCATCGAATAATGAATATCATTACATTCCGTGTTTACGATTTCGCACAATCACGTCACAACTGGGAACTCGGCTTATTAATAAATCTTGCAAACACTATCCGATTATAATTTACAACCACAAATAACGACACGTGGATATGTTTCACGAATAGATAGTGAGAATAATTTTTATAAGTTAGTGTTTGCTCGTAAATCAAACTATTAAGTTTCCACATAAACGAGTTAGTTGCCAAATGACGCTGATGCACAGATAAACTGATAAGGTAAATTTGTAGTATGTATTTACTTGGAAAGCTTATAACTCATACATTCTATCAAACTTCCTATTGATTAATTATTTATTAACCTTTCTTAGTAATAATATAGAAACAGGATAATTATTTCGCTAGCTCGCATTGCGAACAAGATAAAATACTTTTCCGTCGTTGCATTATCATATTCTGTGGGTACATTTAAAAATTGTTCATGTGAACACAGTGAAGTTGATGGTCAGTATCTAATTTGTTAGCTGATTTATTCTTGAAGTTTGTCAGGTGTTCAGAAGCACACATTATTCGTCTATAAAAATTCAAATAGAATTCTGTATTTTTACTTCTTTGGAATCCCTTTTTTATATTTAGGTTAGGTTTACAGAAACCCAAGACGGTCCATCATGATTGTTATAGCAAAAATAGTCAGAACTTGTATGAAAATAAAAGACCTTACTGATTAACTAGTCCCACACCTTGCATATTTGCAGAAATCTTTGACCAAATATGTTTTCTTCATATTTTCGGTAAAAATGTCCGTTGAGTTTAAGATGTACTTGAGTCGTTTATTTAACCAGTAAAACCAGTTTTATACATAATGAATTCGTCATTTTGATACCGTGATTGATTTGTCTATTTAAGGATCCATAAATATTACTCATCGCATAATGTTTTATAATTTTAGTTAAACCCAGAATGTTTGGTTTTCCGAAATTCCCAGGCAGTATTCCCAAACTTATAAGTTATCGACTTGACGTCAAGAATAAATTGCAATATTGCCATCGAAATAGTAATCTTGACCGCCACATTAAATTTTAGATTCTAGTAGTTCCTAGTAGTATCATCTTAATCTAGGAAGTTGGATCATGCATCATATCATGCTTTAGGCACATGTTTTATAGTCGTCGACTCAATAACTGTTACTTCATCTTGTTTTCTGAGACCTAAGCGGTACTTTTCATACGCTGATACTGGTACGAGTACGGTTTTTGTTTGCTTTTTGATATGACCTTCTCAGTGTTAATCTTTGTCAATTAATTTCGCCATAACAAAGGCTAATTTACTGACCTTTAACAATTTGTAAATGTAATAAAATGAAATACTTCGGTAATGTGTTTGCTCAATCAGAACTGTTTTTCTACATATCTTGGAACTGGAAGAAGTAACCTTTTTTGGGAAGCTTACAGAAGTCACTTGTAACATACATATTCTTAAAGGTAGTGGTAGCGCTTATTAAGATGAAGCACCCGGAAAACGAATCTATCAAGAAAAAAGAGTAAAGAAAGCATTAATTATGAATCCTAAATGCTCTAAGCTTCTCAGTACGAAACACTGACCACACAAATAAAAAACTGGTATTTAGTACCACATTTTGTCTTCCTATAACTGATACTGTTTTGAGCCACAACGCAAACAAAAATCAAGCCAGAAAGGATCTTTGTTCTTTGATAGATCTTCTCATTTTTTTGCGTTATGAACTCCAAGATCCCTGTATGTACTTGTATCAGTCAGCCAAGACTACTCTAAAGGACTACTATCGAGTGGATTGCGAAAATTGGGCTGAAACAATATACCACATACTTAACCCGCATTCAATTGTTTCATACGTTAGGTGACTTGACAGCCAAGTCACTTTGAAACCGTATTTCAACAAGTTGGTCTAACTTTTTAAAAGTGTACATTAGGAAATGATCTATTAAAATATCTAAATGGCTATTAATTCCGACACAATCATTGGAGATAGTGAAGCAAGGATTAGGAAATATTCCGATTTATCATATAATCTGAATAGCTGTACACAATTGCTTCTAGTAGTCAAATCATATTAGACGAAACTACTACTGGTTTGTAAAACAGTTACCTGTGTTTTGGTTTTATCGATGCAAGTTGTTCATATCCACATAAAATGCATAGCTAAATTTTCATTATATCCTTTACCATTACCTTTATATGAGCCTGGAATATTACTCAAATGCTGTATAAATATTGTTCGGCAATTTCTTTTAGCTCAGTTATTGTTTTATTTTCTACATTTAACTTGGTGATTTCGTGCTTAGTTGTGTTTTTGTTTTCTTTCATTACATTCCAAGCACTTTTTTTTGATTTTTTGCACATAGTATCATTTTGTTCTAATATAGTCGCTTAGCTGCCGTTAAAACTCTGGCATATAGTATAACATTTTATATTTTTATAGAAATCTATGAGAAGTACATCTCCCGTCTTGGACAAATCATACAGATAGTGAAGCTTATCTCTTGATATTAAGATACCTTTTGTAAACCATCGTTTTCTGGCTCTTGTTTTTATAGTTTTTTTATAACTGGGATCGGTATGTCAACGTAATAATGAAATATTTCTAGGAATAAATTAAATTTTTCGTTAATATCCCCACCGGAATGATAAAGATGGTCCCAAGTTTCTTGACCTAGGAGAGCTAAAAAATTGTTGATGTTGGATTTATTATACGTACATGTCTTGGCACTGGTAAGAAATCTGAGGTGATTGTTCATCTTTTTGGTAGTTCAGAGTTAATAATTGAGTAAAATGATCACTAACATTATTGTTTACCGCAGCAGTATCACACTTTACATCCACCCCTACACAAATTTTATCTATGAAATCAGATCCTCCCGTAGGTTGTTTGGTAACCGGCTTCAGTGAATATGAGCTTAAGACATCCAACAGACAATTTAAATCTAAAGAGTTTTTGTTAAAATTTATGTAAAAAATATTAAAAACATTCGAATGGAATGAACCACGGAGTATCAGTGGGGAATTCAAAACACTTAGTATGTTAAATGTATAATAAGATATGGAACATTCCATTAAACAATTCTTAAAATCCATCTTTATTAATCTCAATGTCCGATATTTTATTGCTCATTCACTGACCCTTCTAAAATACGAAGATTGGTATAACATACTATAAATTTTGATATTAGTTTGGTGTCTAGTTATAAGCGATTCAAGATACAAAAAAAATAAGGCATCATGTAATCATTCTATTTAGAAAAATCTGCCAATATACTCGTAGCACAAATTAGTCATCTTGAAATTTTCAACTGTTATTTTTACGTTGAAATATGGTATTTATGTTTCACCACCCCAACATCCAGCTTGCTAACTCAAGCCCTTCAAAGAATAGATAAGAGGGAAGTTTTCTAAAAAGCACTGCATGAGGGAAGTAAAAACACATGAAATGCTGTATGTGAAAAGAAATATATTACAAATTCGAAATACTAACATAAATAAACTTACTTGCGTATGACTGATTCTGTAAACAATGACGATGTTGCATTTGTTTGTGAAAGGACCACTTCTTCTTCCCACAACAATGTTTCATAAAAAGCTAAAGAATATATTCTAACGCATGCAAACCAACCTGAATTGGAATGTCCATGCCATCTGCATGTGTTTGAAAATGCGTCTCAGTAACCTTGGTATTTGAGGCTAAAATAACACCAAGAATGATATAAAATGTAATTATACCAATGCATTATAAATATTTTTTTGTTCAAATAAAAGCTAACAATCATTCTATTTTATTTCGGATTTCGACTCCCTACAAAAGCCTTTTTTCCGGCGAGCGGTCATGCAGCTTCTTTGAGACGCCACCTGTATTTCTTTTAAAGTCAATTCTTATCAACCTTGACAGCACAACAATACAAGAACAAAGTATCGAGAAACATTAATAAGGGTAGTAAATTATCACTTGCTACGTACCAAAATAGGGAACGATTTACAGACTGGATGGCTAATCGAAATCTGACTCTGTTATTATGGCAATTAACCCTGGTTCGCGCCCGCAGTCATCCTTTCCTTTTTTAAACTAGCGCCGACGACTGTCTAAGACCAGTCCACTGACGTTTCCTTCTCATCCCCCCGTTGCCTCATGAGATGATGGTCCATGTGATTCTGGGCACCGCGTTAGGTTATCAACTTTAGCAATAATACCCTGAACAGCGTATATTTAGTAACTGGTTTTTAAGCACGGACCTGTTGTACGCATATCGTATCCGCTGATCCGTAACTTGTAAACTAGGAAGTGCCGCTGATCGACATCAGTGGCTAGACTAGCGCTATTTGCGGCTTGCGGTCGGGCCGCGCTTTCTAGGTCCCATAAATGCTGATGAAGCTAGAAAATAGAATCAAGTCAAGTTCACTATCGCTATCTGCGGCGGCAACGCTGCCGCTGTCACTACTCCACTACTGTCGGTTTCGCGTCACCGCTCGCCACTAATCACCGCTCTGCGCACCGCTTAACGTTGTGATGGCCGTTCTGCTTGCTGGTTTTACGCTTCGGTTTCTTTTTCCGTAAATAGACCGTTAGCATGAAGTTCGCTGATAGCGTGATTGCATTGGGTACAAACGCAAACAGTCCATGCTCTTTTTGGTACG